TGTGTCTAATGATACTTCGTATCTTTCCCCGTATCAACGCCGTAGTTATCTTGGTCCCTTATCGATTTTTTTTACTGATGGAGATATCGAATAAAATTTTCTGTGTGTTATATGTTATTTATTACAATATTGTTTTTTTGGCATCTTGCAGTTGAATTTGTTTTAATGAAAACTAATGTACGATAGGACTCGTGGAATAATCATGAGAGCACGAACGGTTTAACTATACCTCAATTCAAATATACAAAAAGGTTTTGAAGTTTAAGCCATTTAAACCATTTAAACCATTTATTTTCACACAAATAAACAAAAAATAATAATTTATGGAAATGAGATAAAATATCCATCTTACACAACCTAATAATAAAAAAAATTAAAATAGAAAAAATAAAGTACATATTAGACACGAGCTCAGGGCAATGTTGAAATCAGTTTGCAATGTTTTTAACTCTGTTTTTCAGCCCGACCCGGCCATGGCAGCTCTACGTGGTCGATTACACATACAAATCGCAAACAAACATCAAATAAAGATAAAATAATTGATGAAAATACTAATAATAATAATATGATGAAAAAATTGTAATAACAATAAGATGAAAACAATAATAATAATAACAAAAATAAAGTTATTCTATACAATTATTCAAATTAATTGAAATGAAATTAATATTAACGAATTGAATTGAAATTGTTTTTACAGTGCCACACCCCGGTCACTCCATACAACAGTCGAAAGTTATTTACCTACTACTACTACATACAACAAGGTGCTATCTGCACACGCGCAAATGTGTGCGTGAAGTGACAGGACTCCTCACTTTCTCGTACAATTTACGTTACGTGGTCAGAGCGGCAACAAAGCGTAAATTCTTAAGCGAATATTTTATCTTTAATTCTATTAAAAGAATGCTAAGAATAACACATGTTCATTACGTATTTATATCGATATAATATTATATTTTTCATTAATTCACTAACTAGAATAATATTGAAGATTTATTAAAAAAATATATTAACAGCACTTAAAAGATTGTATTTGGGACAGGTTTTATATAAGGTAACCAAGGTATTCGAAATGGCGTGTCCAAGTTTATCATTACCTAGTTAATAATTAGGTATATATACTACGTAATACGTGTGGCGCACTATAAGTTTCCGGAGTGAATAAAAAAAAATTAGAAATGGTCAGAAATGAATTTATTTTCTTAAAATATTCTCCGTTAGCGTTAATGAACTTTTAAAGCACATAGAGAAATTCGTAAGGCTTGCTGACTCTTTCCGTAGCTCAGTTGGGAGAGCGATAGCCCCGGTATGACGAGGTCGCGATCCAGTCGGATCGAAGGAATTTTTCTTTACGTTTCTATCTTTGTATTAATAATAACAATAAATTTGTGGAGCGTTTCACAAATAATATATGGCAGTAAAACACCATGACATTCAATGAAATAAATACTAAAAAATGCCTATTTACTTCAGTCTTGAATATTCCGAAAGTGTGCTTTTCGGAAAACGCGGAAAGCGTATTTTAGGGGCTAAATACATAGTAGCGCATTTTAGCCCTTTGCAGTACATATTAGGAATGAGGAAGCAAAGTGCGAATGGGTGATATGTACGGATGGCGAGTTCCGGACTTTCTAGTCAACCGAACGAGGAATGGTGAAAGTGAAACTAAATTGAAAAGTTCCTACGCATACTATATATCCAATAGAAAATTGACAACTTCTGCAGTACTCAAGATTTTATGGAAAAATGGTTTTTATAGAAAAACTATGCGATGGCTACCAGTGGTGAAGCTTGAAAATAGTCGTTAGTAAAGTCGGCACAGAACAAAAAACACCTACCTTAAACTTGTTTTGACGTTAAAAAGCCACCTTGCGACACTTAAGTAAAACGCTTATTAGATACAAGATAATCTATATATAGTACCCTTCATTTCACTGATTAACTTATTCTATACTTAAATTGTGTAGTAAATTACGTATTGAAAAGTTTTAGGCAAGCCGGTGGGAATCGAGTTATATGGACGCGTCGCCACTGATGGCTACACTACTACATGTAGCCATCGCATAGCTTACATTATTATGGCCAAATTAGTGTACTATCGAACAATTTACACGTAGGGTGTGAACAACTATACTACCACCTTACCTATTTCTGCCGCCAAGCAGTAATGTGAGCATTACTACATTCCACCACAGTTTGGAAGGGTGCTGATGAAACTCATATGGGACTTGTTAACTTATGTCTCAGGGTGATGGGCGCAGTGACAGTGCCCCTCAGATCTTTGCGATTTAAAACTCTCAGTGGCACTGCAACTGTTATGGACAGGCTTGTCGTTTACCACCAGGTGCACGACTTGTGTTTATCCTGCCACTTGGTATCATAAAAAAACAACTTTACAATACTTCGACTTCACAAGAGAGTGGTTGTTAAGAAGTCTCTTTGCTTTTCGTTCAATCGAATCTAAAGGTATTGGACTAGCTGATTGTAGCCCATGGTGTGCCAAAAGTATAGGAATGGAATTCTACGTTGTGAGGGGAGGCTCCTTTCGTGCACCCTAATTATTATTAGTTCATTTTCCCCGATTTTCCATCATTAAAAGAACAACAACAAGAAGTCAATAACTTGAAAATATTTATAAACTCGAACAACTGTTAATAGTAAAATATAGACAATTTTTTATTGAATTGATATTCAATTATTTTTTGTGAAATTACTCCAATAGCTTGTTATAATTATTAATACAAAGATGGAATACTTACAAAAAATCGGGTACGGATAAAAAATGGTTAAAAAAGCAAATACAAAAGATCCGACAAGCACATAGAAAAATTCGTGAGGTCCGCTGGTTCGTCCCGTGGCTTACTTTATTTAGTTTCCAGCGGATCGAAGGAGTTTTTTCTAAGTGTACTAATCAATCGTTGTACTAATAATTATAATGTTAAAACTGATAATATTTTTTAAACAAATGGTAGGTATAAAGACTCTTATTTTACAACTTTATTTGATTATAAACTTTTGGATTTTTGCATTTAGCATGCTTAAAATTTGCAAAGCACAACAAAACAAGTACAAAAAAAACGTAATAACAAACTTGAATCCTTAAATCTTTACGCCCACATGGTCACATTGCTCCTTGCGTAGGAGTCGGCGTTCAATACAACAGGCTGTTTGCGAAGTTAACTACTGTGAGGAATAAAAAGAAATAGTATATATATTTCACGTGTTTTTGGATGAAATGTATTTCCATTCAAGTCGGTGATAAATACACACAAGATATGTTACGTTCATAGTAATCAACGTTTGAAATTTGTCGAACGTCAAGTACGTTACAGGAGCATAGATTATGATTTTATGGAACAGAATGAACGTTTTGAAAAGTAGGTAATAAGTAAAGCACAATGGAAAACAAAAATAAAATTATTTTGTTGTATAAACGTGAAAAATATTTATTGTTCAAATAAATTTTAACCTTAATTACGGACAACGGCACATCAGACTACACATTTTTGTTCGAAAATCGCCTCCAGTGCAACGGAACAAAATACGTCAATGTGTAGCTTGAAGTGCTGGCGTGTGTACATTACAATTTTTTTAAAGATTACAATTCGTTATCTGTATAAAGTAAATAATACAGGTAGAAAGAAGGAAAGCGAAAAACGGGTAATTGATGACTTTATTGCTTACATTCTTCGTATCTGCACTTATAATTTATGACCTGAGTGCATGCGTGAAATTTGAATAGAATGAGGCAATTTCACAAATGTCAACTTTGTCCCTTTGCTCGACGTATGTTTGCAAGAAGTTACAATTGAATCTTCACGAAAGCGGAATATATGTATAATATTAGTGTTTCGAGTACAAAGACTACCGTCAAATTTCAATTGGATTGAAACATCGGATAAATAAAATTTATTGGTCGTTATGACAAACAAAGTGTTACGACAAATTTAACACACTGTATATCCGGTCAATCACATTGGGTAAAAACCTTGAGGATATTTACTAAGATTTTATGTAAATTGATAATATGTCACTGGCAGAGTCAATGAACGGTTGCTGGAGATGTTCTCCTGAGTAACGGTGCTTCTTTGACCCTTTGATCTGCGTATTTAATAATTGTGGTTATGTATCGAGTTCTTAGGTTTTTGTGATGATTATATACTTAATACGGAATTCCCCATTAAAAATGTAACATAAGGATTTTAGAGAACATTGTTGTTTAGCTTCAACCGGGCTACAGTTGCTTGTAATAAAAAAAAACAAAACACCGTCTAAATACTTACGGCTTCGATATACATACGTATAGACGGGATGACAGGTTTTCAACTCAAATTCGTGTTTATCTTTACTTTATTTTATGTTCTTTGCACAATATCGTCGAAAATACTGATCCTAGGAGAGTTTAAGTTCATCGTGTGGATAACCGATTTGAACATTACATTTTAATCATAAGTATTGGCCATCTGTGGTATTTGTGCTTTATATAATATTATATAATATTCAAAGGTTCTAAATCTTGGTTGGTTTTTGAATGGTTCTAAAATTCTTTTCTATTTTATTTTAGTGTTGTTTTAAGAATCTCTAGAAATATAACGAGCAAAAATTACGGATTTCAATTTAGGCAATTTTGACTGTACTGTCCACTACATCTATACAAGATATTGAACACATTTTTAACCGACTTCAAAAGAGGAAGATGTTCTCAATGTGTGTGTGTGTGTTCAAAAGTTGTCCCATTCAAATTTAAAGAAAAAATTCCACCGCCAATTAAGGGATGAATTAGGTTTATTGGATTTCACCAACTTTCCTTTAACCAATATCAATAAAATTTGGAAAATGGAATTTAATCCAATAAAAAACCTTATGAACAAACTTTTGATGTCGGTTGTTTTTTTTCATAAAATAATTATCTGTATATAGTATCGAATAGATATTTGAACAATGAGTTTCATTAATTTTACTAAGCGATTCTATAATAAACGTTTTCTTCATTTCAGATATGACATGATTGACGTTCCAGTTGCAGTCAGACCTCTACTTGTTGCAATGACCAAAGTAGCCTCTAGCAACTTGATGGCAGAGTGTCGAAACAACGTTACAGAGATTTTTGATACTCCAGTCACCGTCTATTTGAACATTAAGTCATCGAACACGGAGCTAACTTGGGATACTGATGAATCTTACATACTCGATGTTCAAACTAAAGGTTCGTGTCGAAATTGTGCGCTTATTAAGTTTTTTTTATTATAGATAATGTATAGGCAAAAAAAATCTGATAACGTTATACGCAAAGGCGGTTGTATCTAAGGCAGTACAAGGCTTTATTTTTTTATTGTATCGAGTGACAGGACCACACCAAGTCGTGATCTTGGTGTTATGAAACACGCATGTCCATAACAGTTGCAGTGCCACTCAGAGCTTTAAACCGCAAAGGCATAAGTTGACAAGACTCATCCTTCATCGTGAATGTAATTTGACCAGCAACCTTACCCTTCAAAATCGGAACGCAGCAATGGCTGCAACAACAGTTGCTTGCTTAGGTTGAAGAGAAATAATCAATAGTGTAGTATAATATGAGCCAGTAGGGCAACTCCCGCCTGTTCGCTGTGCTTGCACTTCGTTCGGTGAGTAGGGTTGTTAGACGTATATTATCATATTAGTTGTACCTACAGGTCACAAATATAATTTAAAAAAGCACACAGTATTCTCGTGCTATATTGTATATAACATTTATATATAACCTTTGTTAAATGTAGTAGGTACTTACGAATTGATACTTTTATACCAGCATCGCGAATTGGTATCTGATTATGATATTTGATGTATATTATGTTGTATGATTATGAAACACAAATGAAATGCTGAATAATTCTGAATTTAAGGCACTCTTGTTCAAACATCCACAAACTCGTCTACCATTTGATGTCATTTTTAAACACTAACCGTGCGCTATGCTACTCGAGTGCATCGTGAGATTACGCGAATGTGTGCGTCCGTACACGGCGCACGGGCATGCACACATACAAGCGACGTTGCAACATTTATATGAAGTGCCCATACTACTCTTATTATATATACTATGTCAATAGTCTTATGTTTTAAGAGAATATAAATCACTAAAGTGTTTCACCGAGAAACCTATCCCCTTTTAAAGTTTGGAAATTAACATTCACCTTTAAAGAAGTTTCAATTTAAAAATCTTGTCTTGAATTCGTAAACCTTGAAACCTCCAATAATGTTGATTAGGCACAAAAAACAGAATTATTAGAAATAATATGACAACCTATGATTATACCCCTATTTTATGACTTAAAAAGGTCTAGAAATATATTTAAGCTTTAACTGTAAAAAAGGGATTTCGTCCAAAAACGGCGTTATGAGGTTTTCAAATTTAGCCGACAATATGTTCTTTGCTAATATAGTTTAGTGATTTAATGAATATTTATTAACACACAGGCATGACACACAACTCAAAGTATGGTAAGAATTTTGTTAATTTTTTGTTGTTATATTATATTGAAATAGATTAATTGTTCTCTTAGAACATTTGTGTTATTCTTGATAGTGGTTTTTTTCGCTACACCTCGTTACTGTGTTAACAGTTTTCGATATTCTACATAATACTAAATGATTACTGAGTAATTTACCTAATCACCGCCTTAGTTTTGTAAATTTCTTTAGATTTATGTGCTAATCCATTTTTGCGTTCATTTGAAGGGTTACATGTGAAAAAAATTTTTTTGCGTTCGTTCTTAAGCAAATACCAAATTTCATCAAATTCAGTTAGCGTGAAATAATAAGACCATTGCGTAGTTTAGTAGTTACGTATAATGAAGAATAACATATAAAAGTCCAGTATTGTTCGTCTTCTTTACCCTTGAAGTTAAGTGTTTTTTGTCAAAATCGATCGGTGGGAATGCACAACTTTTAAGCCTTACTGTAGCTGCACATTCTGTATGTTTGGGAGAAATTGGTTCTATACATACAACTACAACATCTAACGTGTAATTTTCTATTGCAGAAGGCAATGTAGTTGTCCACATATCAGCTGAAACAGTTTTCGGAGCGCGACACGGGTTAGAATCTTTTAACCAGTTAATTGCTGCCGAAATGCCCGAAAATGTTGAACATTTCAAGTGTACTCTACGTATTATTTCCGGCGCTAAGGTCAAGGACCACCCAGTTTACAAACACAGAGGACTTCTTCTAGATACTTCTAGAAACTTTTTTCCAGTAGAAGATATTAAGAGAACTATAACCGGCATGGCTGCCGCAAAGATGAACGTGTTTCATTGGCATGTAACGGATTCTCATAGTTTTCCTTTGGAATCAACTCGTGTTCCTCAACTTACAAGGTACCTATTTATTTTCTTATAGTCCCATTTCGAAAAATAATGTTATGTGAATACTGATAGTAGTGGTAACTGCTTATCCAATTTTTAACGCAAGACAATCTTAGGGTGCCTCCAAATAGTAGTAGCTTGTAGAAACGTTGCTATGGTGCATCTGTGGTGCGGCAGCCCAACTACTAATTTTCATACACTTTGTAGTTTGCAAAAGGGGTGCGTGTGTGGCGCGAGTGTGACTGCGCTGCTAAATGTATGAAATTAGTAGTGGCGCGGCTGTAGCGCAACAGTGACGCTACAACAGTGCTTCTACGAGTGTCCAATTTCAAGGCGCCCTAAGACGCATATAGTTTAGTGCGTTATTTTTCTTTACTACGAACTATTTTGGAGTAGGCACATACGTGACAAAGTTACATAAATAAATCAATAATAAACCGGTAGTCCCCTGTTGTTCATTGGTATTCTCCAAACAACGAAAGATTTGCCGTTATCTATTGGCTAGACTCTGCAATAGCAATGAAACCAATTCTTGTTTTTTTTTATGATACCAAGACGAACAAGTCATGTGACTCGTGGTAAGCGACACGCCTGTTCATAACAGTTGCAGTGCCACTGAGAGGTTTAAATCACAAAGATCTGAGGGGCACTGCCTCTTCGTCCGTCACCCTGAGATATAAGTTGAAAAAGCCCATGTGCCTGTAATTTTACCAGTACCCTTACGCTTCAAATCCGGAACGTAATGATGCTCACATTACGGCTTGGCGGCAGATATGGGTAAGGTGGCAGTACTTTCCTGGACGAGCTCTTCACAAGGAGCTCTACTGCTAACTAAAAATGTTGTCTCTTAGTGACTTTCTACATTACTCAGGAAAATGCAGTAAAATTATGTTACAAAAAGGGGCCTCATTTTGTTACCAGACATACGGCGTACGGATTAAACCACAACTTGTGTATTTTCGTCTTCAGGTACGGGGCGTATTCAGCGTATGAAATTTATACTGTAGATGAAGTGGAGAGTTTGATACAGTTTGCGAAAGTTCGAGGCGTGCGTGTGATTATCGAGATTGATTCGCCAGGACACGCTGGCAACGGATGGCAATGGGGGAAGGTGCGTTTGCCTTTCCACTTATATATATAAGGTCCTAATTTAATAGCTGATAATCCTTTCAATTATCTTTACTGCAAACGTATGCAAAAGGTTTAGATGTCCCCGTAGTATAAGTTGTTTGGTTTCGTGTTAAATCAGGACCTTATGACATTGACCAGTTATTTTCATTGTAGAAATGAAAATTTACTCTTTGTTTGTAGGACTATGGGTTTGGAGATCTAGCAGTATGCATTAATGCTCCAGAGTGGAGAAACCTCTGCTACCAGCCCCCATGTGGTCAGTTGAACCCAGCTAATCCGAAGATGTACGAGGTCTTGAGAAGCTTGTATCGAGATATTGCGGCTATGCTGCCTAAACCTGCAGTTTTGCACATGGGTGGAGATGAGGTAATTAAAGAAGAGGTGCCTTATAAAACTGTGTAAAGTATATAAAATTAGGTTACAGTTGGATTACATATAGTTAAGAATAACGAAGACTAATCCAGTAAAACTCGAACCTAATTTGGTTAAAATTCTGAGTGAAGAAACTTTTGAGTTTCTCACAGGTGGTTCTGACGGCAATAAAGTTAAAGTTACACGATACAGATATCTGCAATAAGCACATTCGTGATGTCTCCTGACTCAGTCTGTAGTTAGCAATTTTAATTATTCAAGTATATTATCGTAAAATATTAAATATTATGTAAGGATACTGTACTCGAATATTAAATAACACTTTATGATAATATTCTAGAACATTGAAATAATAAAAATTGACACTGAAATTAGGCAGAGAAAACTAATCTGAATCTTACTTACTTCCGTCGCTAGCTTAGCGACCCGAAGTGGATCTTGGCCTCCGATACCAAAGTACGCCAATTCTGTCAATCTTGTGCCGATTCCGACCATTCGGATACATTCAGCTCCTTTAGGTCTTTGGCGACTCTATCCTTTCAACGATATCTTGGACGGCCCACTGGACGATGACCCGTAGGTTGCCTCAAATACGCTCTTTTGGCAGCTCGATCCTCTCCCAATCTTTCCAGATGTCCTAGCCAGCGAAGTCAGGCAGATTTAGACACTAGTTCTTCTATCTTTCTATTAAATCTGGCCTTCCAGTTCTCAAATTCTTTTTGGTTGGTCCCAAAATCTTTCGAAATATCTTCCGTTCCGCCACTAATAAATTTATGTTCTTCCTCCAGGGTTAGTGTCTATGTTTTACACCCACACATTACGATTGGCCTAATTAATGTTTTGTAGACACGAACTGTTGTAGACCTGCTTAGTACCTTGGACACCAGTACTTTGTGAAGGGCTGCTGTACATGATAGCGCGTTTACTATGCGAATATTGATTTCATCCTCCCTTTGGTTAGCGTTGGTAATAGTGCAACCCAGGTACTTAAATTTGTCCATGCCCTTACAAGTCGTACCGTATCTTTATTCCGCTTCATATTCCTGTATACGGAATACCTGAATATTTCCTACTTCATTTTCTTCTTGCAGCTTTTCTTCAGCTGTTGGAACTCATCACAAGAGATATTAGATTATATGAACTCCAAGGGCTTCGACTCGAGCAATCCGAGCGGTTTCTTCGAGCTATGGGCGGAGTTCCATTCGAAAGCCCTGAAGATATGGGATGAGGAGCTTGCAGCTGAGGGTGGAAAACCGCAGAAGGTCATTCTCTGGTCTTCAGAACTTACTAAACCTAATAGGATTGAAAAATATTTGGATAGCGAGAGGTAAGTAAGCGTTATTAATTAACCGGGTAAATATTTAATCTTATTTCATTCGTACAAAATAATGCCAAATAAAAAGTATTTCGTCTGTTTCTAAACGACTTAGCGGAATAAGGTCGCATCTGCAAAATGACAACTTTTCAGGATAGAGGTTTCAGGAAAGATTATAACTTATTATGCTTTTTTAAAATCTTTATTTGTTCATAGAGGGTTTTACAAATGCCACCCTCATAGTGGCTCTCTTAGTATACACATTTCTTAGCCTAATTGTCATCGTTAACTAATTTATGTAGCAGCTCAGCCTCTTCAGAGATCGGAGCTGCCAGGATGCTATTAATCTTACCGAAGTTGTACGTGTTCATGTTGGGATGGTGTCCCATTCCATTGTTACGTGATACACGGCTTCCACAATTCCACATTCGTTACAAATGCGCCAATCAAATTTCGCAATGCATAAGAATCAATGGAATGTGGTCGGAGTGAAGATAGTCTTGTCTGCTGATTTTAAACAAACTGAACCATGGGGACCGAGAAAGTGTTGGCTGGGTTGTTTTCTACCATAAGCCTTTTGTACGGGATCTTACATCGAATTATTCTGACCACATATCATAATACATAATCTCGAACCTTGAATAATACATCAATAACCCAAGGTACAAATTGAATCAAGTTGTCGGTCTCTGTGCCTTCTCTCGCCAGCCGATCCACTTCCTCGTTCCCCTCGATACCAGAATACGAAGGAATCCATTGAATTGTCAGCAGTTAGCCGCGTACAGTTTCAGTATAAGAAGAATGATTGTGTACGCCAATCGAATGCCCCTGAAAACGTAAGTAGGTACAACGATACAAATGCTGTAGGGTTAAAATAACAAAATTAATGATACTTTCAATATATGAGAGTGCTGCAACGATCGCAATACTTTCTTTCATGTGATAAACGCTTTTTGAGACCACATGTAGTATTAATATAATAAGGGTACGAATAAGTGACATATGCGCGTTCTTCACTCACACATCACTCTATTTGAAATTAAGATTTTATTTTAAACTATAATAAAATTCCAATATCAATCAAAAAAGAAAATAGTATTAACCGACCTCAAATTTGGTGGAATTACATATATTTGCCAATTTTTATTGAAATCGGTTACCGGAAACTGCGCGAAACCGTATTCATCCCCTAGTTTGCCACCCTTAGAGGTGGAATATTTTCTTCAAATTTAAATGGGACCAATACTGAGGTATCCTCTTTCCAACAAAAACAAATACATCAAAATCGGTTCACAAATGCCGGAGTAATCGCGTAACACACATACAACAAAAACTCCTCCTTTTTTGAAGTCGGTTTAAAATACATTAAAACAAATCTTAGTAAATCTTAGTACCTACATTATAGTAGCATATTGTGGAAGCTCGTGCTTGATGTGAATATTTCACCTGTATTACATCTCACCAGTGTGGGGACCCCTTGAATAATGAAACCTAACATTACTAGGTAATAGGGAGTAAGGGACCAAATTAGTAAAATAAAATAAGAAACAAAAAGCGACTAGACAGTACTATTAATTGCTTGCGAAGTGGATGCATGTGTGTGCATCCAAAAATATATATACATATTATTCTGTAAATGAATTTTTAATTGAAAAATAAAGTCATTCACGGAAAGCTCACGTCGATTTTATTATTAATTGAGTATGAAGTATAATAATTTAATAATTAGTCCGTTAGTCAGTTAATCTTGACTGGGTCATGGACCATACAGAATTTTATTATAAGACCTTTTAATGTACATGTGCAAAATGGAAACAAATAAACAAAAAGAGAGCAAAGTAATGGCAATTGTAAATATCATGCCCCCGGTCATTCATCTCACGACGACATGTCGCAGATAAATAAAATTTATCTTCAACATCACGTCATCGGTCATTTACATCGCAATTTTCAGTTAGTATCGCTGTACCACGTGTTATAAAGTGATTTCTCAGTATGGTTTCTTTTTATTAGACTATAGGCAGTTTTTGCGGACTGAAACAAACGTTATCTACGAGTATTTAAATCACAATTAGTAACTCTGACCGTGTTACCCGGATATCCTTTTCCTGTGTCGTGGTAACACTGAAAACAATGCTAGATTGATTGTAGTGTTTATTAAGGGTTATTTACAATAAGAGACTAAGTACTTGGTAATAACGAGTCATGTTTTTTAAATGTCAGACAACCACATCAATTACCTACTCTTCAATTAGGGAATTTCCTGTACTGTGACAAGGGGCATAACCTAGAACACCCAGACCAGAACCAATTTAGAAATTATACATTTTCCTGATTTGTTCCGAGAGTATGGCACTGGGAATCGAACTCGAGGTTTAACGGTTATTCACGCTGGACAATCGTTAAGCAGCCGAAGAATAAAAAGAAACATTATTATATTTTATGATTAACGTTCATATTCCACTTATATTCGAATAATTTGTACAAAAATTAACAAAAAATTTCTCATGCTCTATTAGTATAGTCAATATGAGCCTTGCGTAGCGGGAGTAAAGTGCATCATTTAACCCTAATTTAATTTAAGCCTAGTTTTTTAATTTACTTCGATTGACCGAGACAAACAGTCAAACAGCCAGTACTTACTCTAGTCTGTGCCTAAAAGTTAAAGTTCAATGAGTGAAACAATATATGGGAAATAAAACTATTTTTCCGGATTTGAATCGCGTATTTTTGTTTTTTCAAACATACCAACGTTTCGGGCCCTTTACAGTTCCCATGGTCACGGTTGACCAGATTAAAAGCAAATATAGACCCTCGGAATATAAGACACCTCGAGTATATACATATTGGTTCGTTTTAGTCCCTCGATAAAAAATATACTATTATCACATCGCACTACTATTACAATAGTGTTGTAACTCAAAAAATGTGAAATTCAAGATAACCTATAACCATTTCATAACGTAAAATTTGTACCTCTACATGTCAATAAAATTGTCATTAGAATATTGTAAAAAACCATTAAAATATATCTACTTAACCCAGAATGAGACAAACGTTTTGTGAGCTAGTTCAGGACAAAACAGTCTTTACTTATGAAATTATTTTTAAATGTACTTCTATTTGGCAAGTAGGAAATTGTTCAGGTGTCTAATAAATTTTAACCTATACATAAATTATAATAATCTTTCACGGGAACTGAGTAATTCGTTTTTCAGCTGTACTGAATAAATTAACATTTTGAGTTAATATAATATTTTATTAGCAGTGCGACATGTAAATAATAAAAATAATAAGAATCACATGCAACAAATTATGTATATGTGAAATTTTGTGACTGTCCTATTTAAGGTGCCTCCGTGGCCGAACGGTTACCATGACTGCCACGCAGAGGTCCCAGGGCCGATTCCCGGGCCGGGATAAATATTGTACGGCCTACATTTATTTCTCTCGTGAGTTTGGGTGTAATTTGTAGTTGTGGTCCACGGGACCCGCGAGACAGGGTTTCCTTAGTACGGGGCCATGTTGAGTATGTGCGTCGATATTATAAGCTTGAAAAGTTAAAATATAAGAACTGATTTTGTTCGTATATTTTTAAAACTTTCTCCTAGGGGACCAATTATATTAATTTCCTTTAAACCGTTGGTCATTGTAATTCCATTGAGATTACATTGCAATTATGATTGTATTTGCTATTCTTTTAAGATCCAGTTGCAATGGCGGTTGAGTCTTAGTGGAATGGCAGTGATGGCATATTCATTCATTCAATTACTAACGATCGATGTTGCCTTACTAAAACTACGTTGGAAATTATGAATAATAAGATATGAATAATATCTTAATTTTTATCTCGCTTAAACAGCAATTTAGTCTTCAAATTAAATATACATAATATTAATACTCTACACCATCGACTCGCCATTGAAGAGCAGACTACCACAAACTTGCAAGGGCAGTTGAACAGTAGCTCAATGGCTAGCTACTGACAAGCCACTACTCTTAACGTTACAGCAGCAGAATACCAAACGTACAATATCCTGCCATTGGCACTCTATCGACGAACAACTGAGGTGATTTAAAATTAGCAGACTTGGGGCCCTGAAAAGTTGTATTTTTGCGGATGTCGCCTTATTACATCAAGGATATGATTTTTTTATATATACCAGTGTTGCTATGTGCACCGTAATTACGATAAATCCATCGTACTCAGCACAAATTTACTACCTACCGTCGACACAGGACAACGGTGACAAAATCTGCCGTAATCTGCAGTAGCTGGATTTTTTGCAGTAAAGGAGGTGCGAGATCGATGTGTGCGGTTTAACTAATAATAACCGCCCCTTTAAGGAAATCTTTTGATGCAGCAGTCTATTCAAAGGCGCTAAACTAAACTAAACTCGTATTTTCTCAAACTTGGATTATACAAAATGTTGCAGGCTGATGTCACATCGCATTTCCTTAATGTTTAGACACTAGTTTTTACCTATTCTTAAAGTAATGCATCCAAATTAACACTCCTGATAAGAAATTTAAAATAAACAAAAAGTTTTGCCATCTCCTGAATAATTACTGTTTATAAGAGGCGAGTTTGAGAAAGAGGCGACGCGACGATAGGCAAATAAGCGTAAATTTTAAGCCTGACGAGGAAATGTTGAGAAGATTAAATCAAAACATTTATAAAAATTAAGAGATTTGATAATTATTGTTTTATAAAAAGGATTATATTTAGACAAATTTTTACTAAGGTATTCCTCTCTTTATTTTTTAAATGTTCAAATTTAATTTTTAATTGTTTTCTTATTATAATTCAAATTTTACTTTACAATTAGTAAAAAGTAAATTATGCACTAAAATGTTTTTTTTATTATTAATATTTACTTAAGTACAAGATAAAGTATGGTAATTCACTCTCTTAAAGGGTTATTATTACAAAGTTAAGTTACTTTTGAAAGTATAATATACCATAATTACAATGTTTTTTCCTGGTCCAGTCACCGTAATTTCTTATGATCTACCGTCTTTCACGAGCAGGATCAACATCGACAAGACTTTGAACTTGGCAATACTGATACACACTGAACCACGAAAGTCGAATTTATTATAAATTTTGTTTTCCAGATACGTAATCGAAGTTTGGGAGCCAATAAACAGTGATATGCTTTCCAAGCTACTTGGTCTCGGCTACTCAGCTATTTCCATACCCAAAGACGTCTGGTATCTGGACCATGGGTTCTGGGGGACAACTAAATTCTCCAATTGGAGGCGGATGTACTCTCACATGCTGCCTGGACATTCAAACGTCTTAGGAGGAGAAGTAGCCATGTGGAGCGAATACATTGATCGTTTAGGACTGGGTGAGTATTTTTTTTTTTTTGTATACTAAAAAAGTGTAAAGGGTGCGTACACTGCGTGCGTTAAATGCTCCTTTGCAGGCAAGCAAGCATGTGTGGCGCTCGAATGGCACTGGAACGTAATGCACGTGTGCAGCTCGCGAGTCTTTCATAAACAGGCGCATTTGCAGCGCATTCTCTAGATCTGTACGCACCTTAAAGGAAGTTAAACTACTTAAGGCGAGGTATTTGAATGCGAGTTTAGATTTCTCAACCCCTCGCGTCCCGCAATCCGCGCGCTGAAAATTAATATGAATGAAAAACAGACGGAGGAAATTTGACACAGATCCGACGTAGTTAGCGCCCGATGGCAACTGCAGCGGGTGGCGCGGCGTGTTGTTAAACCGCTTTGGACAATTTTCAAGTTTGAAAACCAAAATTTAACAAGTTGTCTGTAGTACTTAAAGAGAAATATCTCGATGCAAAAATTATGTACAAAGTTAGATATATTATTCTTAAATAATTCGTTTTAGACTTTTAATGTAGCCTGTTTTCAGGATTTCATATGATCGGATAAAGTACATTCTATCGTGTAACAAATGAACACATTCTTTAGACAATATCCTTAGGTGTATCGTATATTTTTTGTAAGATCGTTATTTAATATTAAATAGCTAAAGCATTCGATCTAACAAAATAGTTTTTCATGTTTCTCCTCTTGTGACTCGCCTTAAGGCGAGATGGTATCGGTAGTTGCGTAATTGAAGCGTGTGACGTAGACGCGGAAAAAGTCATTACATGACGCTTAGGCTCAACTCACACTGGCGCTGAGTCGAAGCGTCGCGTCGCGTCCTGTTTTTCAACTACAACGCCTGGCGACGCGCGCTCGCATTATCGCGGCCGGATCACAGTGTGGTCGGCGTCTGACGCATCACAAGTAACGCGCGTCGACGCTTGATTCCATATTTGCATAACACAAATTTGTACCTTAATAATGGGAAGATAGGGATGAATATGCTATAGGCGAAAAACATGACGCGTTGCGACACTTCCACCCTGCGCCAGTGTAAATTGAGCCTTAGACATTTGCCTTTTAGAAATAAAATATACTCTATACGGTGTCATCACATATTTTAGTTTAGTAGTTTTGCTTACTTCGCGTCTCACTTATCGCAGCCGTTTGTTGACCTGTGCACATAAATAGGCAATTAATTTAATGTTCAACAAACATTGAATCGATTTAGACATCTAACAACGTAACAACAACGTAAGAGATACACAACCTCATCTAGCTTAAGCTTATAAAACTTGGTAAGGATGCTCTTACCAATATTTACAGTTCTTTACACATTTATATAATACTTACTGTAAAATAAGGTGATAGTTCCGTGGCATATTTATTATGAAATATTTCTCACCCGAGAAAATTTCTTTTAAATATCTGTAATAACATTGAAAGTGATTTTTCCGTAAATGAACGTAGTAGAAAATGAAAGTTATAGGGAAATTTGTCAATCTTGTTTTGGGCCCCATAATTCATTGCCAGTGCCTTTACCATGAGTTTACTGTGACAGCTGTCGCTAGCGGCCGCGTAAACTACTTCATAATTTTGTATGGCAAATTATACAGCACCCCTAGCGGTCATAAGAAGAAACACCATTTTGTATACAAACATTTTACGCTGTCGCTAGCTAACTGTCGTTGTAATTTCATGGTAGAGGCACAGTATTTAATGTTTCATTATCAATTAAAAACCAAATCAATTAAAAACAAACGCCTTGATTTCGTATTTTAACGTCGAAAAAACTGATTTTCTGTGTGGTCGAAATACGTCAAAACGTCTATACTGGATCTCACTTCACCTTATTAACGTAACGTTTGGAAAAACGGGAATTTTTATTCGCTATTTTCAAAAATTTCTTGATTGCGCTTTGTTGTGTGTGTGTCACTTTACTTACTAGAAGTTGGTCCTAGATCTGAAAGTGTAGTCTAGTTGGTCATATATACATACATTTAATTTACCATTACCTAATAATAAACTTCTTTAACTTATAATTATTAATACAAAGATCAAACACTCAGAAAAAATTTCTTCGATCCGGCCGGATTCGAACCGACGTCTTCTAGCTTACCGTGCCATACGCTATACCAACTAAGCCACGGAACGAACCAGCGGACCTCACGAATTTTTCTATGTGCTTGCGTCGTGTCTTTGACTTCTTTAACTTAGTTACGTCTATAGGTAATTAATTAATAGCTATACCATTTGTTCTTTTGTGCAGATGCTCGAGTATGGCCCAGAACGGCAGCAGTAGCTGAGAGATTGTGGTCCACTCCATTATCAGGCGCAAATGCTGCTGAACCGCGCCTCCAAAGATTGCGCGAGCGCCTTCTGAATCGCGGCTTACGCCCCGACGCCATGTCACCCGGCTGGTGCGCACAGAATGACATGTCATGCTTATAGAATACTGCCAAACTGTGCTCATAAAATATGACAAATAATTTTCATCCCCCGTTGTTAAATTTCAGAGACCTATTTTCGTTTACCGTTAACACGTACATTAATGTGGTCAGTCTATATTAGCGTGATAACCACAGATAATTTTTTGGTATACCTAACGCGGTCGAATCAGTCAATTAACTAGGAAGCAATGAGTTTGATATAAGCTCGAGGACTTTCAAGGACACCACATAACGTAATAATAAACTATTTGATGAGAGTTCCATCAATACACTAATTAAAATTAGCCAATATTTAGCACTGACTAGGTTAAGGACTAAAATAAAAGACAGTCTGAAGATTTTTAAGTTCTTGAATGAGTTGATTATTTGAGTTGAATTAAGCACTTGACGGAGTTAATACATGAATCAATTATCTAAAACACAATATTATATACACGTTGAAAACAAATAAATTCTGAAATTCAGAATTGAAACAGTTTCATGGGTTTCAGAAATATAATTTGACATTTCCCTTTATCTTTCAGAAGGGTCTTTCGATTTAAACATCCTCTGTCTGTCCATATGGTACTAATGTTTACGGTCGCCGGGCCATGCAATAAATAAAGACGGTAGAAAAGACTGGAAATAATTATCTTGTTTATGGTGCACCCTGACTGCGATGATAATTGTCGCACAAAACTTATCATTATTTTTCGATAAGTACACTTAAAACAGTAACGTAGAAAATAATTGTATAATTTAGCCATAAATGGCAATTATTAGGGGAATAATAAAGATTCCGAAAAGCAAATGGGACTGTAGCGACTAGCGACTAAGTCTAACTGATATACTAAGCAGCGTTAAAATCACTTACTGAAAAATAAACAGTGCATACTGACAAAATTAATCATATTTAGTAAACAATCAGTACTTTTTCAAATCACAATTCTACGGAAAAATACTGTAATTCCCAATAATATACTTAACTTCCGAAAGAAATACTAAAGTTTAAGAGATGTATAAGGTAGGTTTTTAATTTATAATATGGATTCCCGCGGCTCGTTTTTCAATGCGTTACTACGCACCACCACGCCTCACCCGGCAAAAAATGAGCTGTGGAAAACCGCCAATAGGTGATTGCTAACAATATAGTTTTCGGAGAGTAAGTAGTCACGTCAGCAAGATTTTTAGGAACTTTCAGTATTTCATTCAGTAGTTTCCCTATTTTTATTTTCACAAGAGTTTTCGATACCCAAGTAAATAACGCGCTAATATTTATAAATTGAATAGGCTAATTTTTAATTTAATTTTCGGAGCTTTTATTACTACCCGAATTATTAATCAAAAAGACTAGAAAGAAGCACTTGGTGCTTTTTCTGCCAATCTTTATAATTTGTAGGGTAGCAACAAATGACATTTATTAGTTCATAATTCGCTTTTTTCTTGCCGATATATTACTTGAGAGACTCTGTAAGTATGATATAATGCTTTTCAAGTATATCGAATACGATTTGATAAGAATTTTAGACTTATGATGGTAAATACCTTTAAAAGCATTGACTTACAATTATATGGACGTCGGGTCCGCGCTAAAAAGTGTCCGCACTTGTAAGGCGCTAAAATCGTATACAGAGCGCGACACTCCGCTTTAGTCTTCATTTGTTCTACGGACAGCGCGATACTGCGATGACATGACAATTTAAATTTCGAATAGGTTGACTTGGGACATTTTTTTCGTGGTTTTTGTATTAGACCCGTCGTCCATTTATTTGTAAGTCAATGTTTAAAAGTGACAAAAAATATTTGGTGCTAGTACGGTGCTTACCTTAGATATAGCATTATGCGTTTAAGAACATAGATTAGATATGTAATAAACGTACCTAATCAAAATCAATGACATGAATTGTAAAAAACTTTAAAATTATATTATTGTTTTGAACATTATTTACGGAGACGTTTACGATGTTTACATAGTGTGTGTTATTTATTGAAAAAAAAGTTTTTATATGCTATTCACATTTATTTTGCACCTTTTTCTCATTGACAGACTGACTGACTAATAATTTAAGATGTATTTGTAAGCCTAATTTGTTTTAGGAGTAGATTTTTCCAATGGTTTTAGTCTGAATAAAATGGAAATAATTGTGATATTCCTATATTTAATGTTCTACTGTTATTTCTAGATTGTATCTACTTAAGCATACGTAAAGTCATAATAAATAGATTACAGTTTGTTATTTTGTTTTATTACAATTTTTACTACTAACTCCGAGAACTAAACCATTTTTACTACATTTTAAGTATTTAAAAAACAAAAATCACTACAATGTATTTACATTAACGGAAAACCCTCAACGGTATCGACATAACGGTTACATTTCAATTCTATTTATAAATCAGCTATTCGTAAATCATAAACCACCTACTTGGTAGACACTAACATTGGACAAGAAATGAACTACGCGACTACATAGACAAATTATTTCTTCTTTCGCCATTTTTCACAAGACTCAAGTCATTTGGGACCAGATCATGCAGAACCGCGTCACTTCTGAAAATGCTAGTAGCTATCCTGTTAGCCAGTCGTTCTGACTCTCTCAGTTCATCGTCTTTAGAATGAGATGTAAGATCTATTTCTGCATCACTATCACTGTCTTCTCGTTGGTGATAAGCTAAATTTTGTGGTTCGACAATATCTTCTGGACACGGACAACTCTTTGCAGTCATCACTCTTAAATCAGTTGGTGTTATATCTGTATTGTCGATTGGTGGCATCATTAATGGTGTGAACGAGAAAGGCTGCTGGTATCTTTCTTCTGTTCTATAGGCTATTGTCATGTCGTGAGCTGGTGGAATAGACGGTATAGGTTCTGGAATATTTGAATGGTGCAGGTAAGGATCTTGCCGTGGTGATTTGAGTTCTCGATTTTCTGGAGCCGGTGGTAGCGGTTCAGGAGATTCTTTCCCGTTCGGCGAATCAGGACCTTCGGGGGATGAGTCTGGTTTTGTGTGACCTGCAAATTAAATAGCTTGAATTGAATGGAAAAATTTAACAGATAATGATGCCTCGTAGAGAGGCGAAACGTATCGAATGTATTTTTGGTGGTGAAGTTAGTGTTGATTGTGATCGTAGTCGAGAGTGGGAGAATTAACTGTATGAAAAAATGTTCAACACAAGCTAAGCTATTTTGCACGATTTCATATTCATTCATATTGATTTCCGCAAAGTAACATCTTAATCCATATATTTTTTCAATTTAACTATTTCCCAAAGTATCTTTTTTGTAATACCACGTAATGGGATGAACAAGACGTGGACTTGGTAGTAAGCGACAGGTCTGTCCATAACAATTGGCTTCAAACCGCGAAGATCTGAGGGGTATTGACACTGTGTCCGTCACTCTGAGACAAGTTGTCAAGCCCATGTGCCTGTAATTTCACCAGCAACAACGCAGTAATCAACAACTCACATTACAGCTTGGCGGCAGAAATAGGTAAGATAGCAGTACTTCCCTGGATGAACACTTTCACAAGGAACTTTAATGCTACAAAAACCTATGATATCTTAAGATCAGCTCGTTATTTTTCTACTGTATTTGTATAACCATCCAAACCTTACGTGATACTCGTGAAATTTAAACTTAAACGAGTAAAAATAAAGAATTTTTATTTTTTTGTGTGCCAGACAAGCACACCAATTGTTTGGTCTTAAGCTAGAAAATTCGCTGTACTATGAATGTCAAACCACCGAAATGAACTCGGAGGCACTACCAAGAACACCTAGATAAGAACCAATTTAGAAAAGGTCGAAATGTACTCATAACATAATACATAATAAATAAATTAAATTTCTCTCACTCCCACCTAATTTAGGCAACGAGATAGCAGACCTTACTAATTTCTCTTTGTGCTCGCTGCAGATTTTGGTTTTTTTTAGTTTTAAATGGCTTTTTTGCGCCATCTGTGAGAAAACTATGAAAGATTTTCTTCAAAATTTTGTTTAAAAATTGTATAAAAAGAATTCACCCATGTTGTTGATTTTCAAAGAATTAATTTCGTCTACCAATAACACGAACATTAATGTCTATAGGAAATGAAACTATTTTTCCGGATTTAAATCGCGTATATTTGTTTTTTCAAAAAAACCGGCGTTTCGGGCCCTTTACAGGTCCCATGGTCAACCGTGACCAACAGTTTCATTTCCTATTTGTAACAATCGCGAAAACCTAAGAACTCGATATTAATGTCTATTTTAACGCCACACTTAAATAGTTTTATAGTAACTCATCAACAACTTTTCGGCGCAAGACCGCGTTGCGGCTCAGTCTATTAGATAGCCTAGAGAATGTGTGCGTTACAAGCTCAGAATTTTCAGAGATACCATGTAACGTCTTAATTCAGAGACCTCTTTGTCTAGCGCTTACAATACTAACCACTGCGTCACGGCCGTCGACTAACCAAATGGTCTGTTCACGACTGGTGAAAAGTGTCCTCTAGATTTAGGCCATGGTCTACCACGCTGGCTCAATGAAAATTGGAGATATATTTGCACGTCTATGAAGCTTTCTCCAATATACTAGATTCTTCACAATATTTTCCTTCGCTGTTGGAACAAGTAACAATTGGTAAACTTTTTTTTATAATATGAACTGGCTAGATAAGCAAGTCGTGGGTTTAGTGGTAAGCGACACGCCTATTCATAACAATTGCAGTGAAGCTTTGACGAGACTGAGACATAAAGTTGACAAGGCCCATGTGCCTGCAGTTTTTGAAAACCGGGACGCAGTAATGCTCACATTACTGCTCGGTGACAGAAATGGTATAACTTCCATGGACGAACTACTTTACAAGAAACTCAAAAAATTAGAGACAGCCGCCTATACCGAGATTGTGATGAACTTGGCTTAAATCTTTTCTTTCGGACTGACAAGTCAGTCGTTTTTATCCCGTATTGTGTTATAATCTTGTGGAGCTATGTTCTTAGCAAAGGCTCACCCATAAAAATTAGATACCTACCTGGCATAGGCAGCGGTGGAGTACCTAAACCAAGACAGCGCATCCTCCAGGCGTCCTGTAAAAGTTGAAGGCGGGCCTGCTTGCGCCATTTTGCACGTCGGTTCTGGAACCATACCTGAAAATATTTAAAGTGGTAGAGATTGTAGAGTTACGTAACGTTCGCAAATTATACAGGTAATGATATCTATCATTATAGAGACAACAGATAAAAGTTTTAAATGTAGATAATAATAAAAACACCGACCTCAAAAGTTGATGGAATTACATGTAATTGCAAGTTTTATTGAAATCGGTTACCGGAACGTATGCGGAACCGGATTTATCCTCCTAGTTTGCCACCTTTATAGGTGGCAAATTTAAATGGGACCAATACTGAGATACCATCTTGCCAACAAAAAAAGCGTAACGTAACGCGTAACCTACATACAAAAAATACAGTCGAATTGAGAACCTCCTCCTTTTTTTGTTAGTCGGTTAACAACTAGTCACTGCTTTGCATAGCTATTGAGTTTCAACATAACGTTTGCACAACTCAAAGATCTGAAAGTATATTAAAAACGATTTGCAACATTTGACAAACCAAGTTAAAGAATGAGCTGCAAGCTGCTGCTGAGTGTTGGTAGAGTTCCGTGTGAATGAGCCGCCAAGCGGTAATTTGAACATTACAGGATTTCGGTTTTGAAGGTTAAGGGTGCTGGTGAAATTACAGGCACATGGAACTTGTCAACTTATCTCGCAGAGTGACGGCCTAGTGGCAGTTGCTCCTCAGACCTCTGCGATTTAAAGCTCTGAGTGGCACTGCAATTGTTATGGATAGGCGTGTAGCTTACCATCAGGCACAACTTGTTCATCCCTTGTTCATCCCGTCACTTGATATTATTAAAAAAAAGGAAAGAAAAAAGGCTGGATATCGCTCTCCCAATGGAGCTAGGGAACGAGACGAATTTGTCGATGTGCTTGTTGAATATCTTTGTTTTTTAGCTTTAAACGACATTTTTACCGTAACGCCACGTGAGAAACCTATGAAAGCTTTTCTTCAGAAATTTGACTCACGTGATATCCTAAATAAAATAAATACTTAAATAAGCTTGTAAAAAAGAACACCAGGATGCAACTTACACTAGCTCACACTGGCGTGCTCTTTTTACTCTGACTGCTCGTTGCAACGATCGTTGTATTTGGAGTGAGTTGAATTTTGTGATTGTACAATCTTTTAAATCTCATTTAAGTACAGAGAAATGTGACGGTAGCCTCGTGGAGGAACGATTGCTCTTCAATTGAGATGTTGAGGGTTTGAACCCCTGTAGCGGCATCTACCAATAACATTGGTTTCTAAGTAACGTATATTTCGTGCCCTTGATATGAAGCCATATAATAATATGGTCATACGTCAAAAGTGCTGTTATCGCATGAAAGTCATAAAAATAATAAGAACTACATGAAACAAATTGTATATGTGAAATTGTATAACTAATCTATTTAAGCATAATTGTAACATTTTTATAAAAAACAGACCTCAAAGTTTGTCGAGTTACATTTATTTGACAAGTTTTATTGAAATCGGTTATCGGAAAGTTTGCGAAACCGGATTCATCTCCTAGGTTGCCATTCTTACAGGTGGAATATTTTCTCTAAATTTAAATGGTACCAATATTGACGTACCCTCTTTCCAACAAAAAAAGAATCATCGAAATAGGTTCACAAATAAATAACAGTACAGTCGAATTTTGTACTTAGAATCTTTACACGTCTCTCCTGTCATTTTACAGATATATATTGGAAAACGCGTAAAATCCCCAACCAGCACTGCATCAGTGTAGAGGACTATGGCTAAAGCATCTCCTTAGAGGGGGCCTGTAACCAGCAATGACGAGAGAAAGATTTGAAATAGAACAAAGGTAAGTACCGTATTGACATAACAAAACCTACCTTTTTTATGATAACAAGTGACGTGGGGCCTACCCAAAACAGCTGCAGTATCATTCAAAGCTTTAATTGCAAAGGTCTGAGAAGCACTGCCACTACGCCCATCACCCCGAGACATAGGTATTCTCATGTGTTTGTAAATTCACAAGCACCTTTACCTTTCAAAAAGCAGTAATGCTTATATTACCACTTGGCGGCAGAATTGGGTAAGGTGGTATAAACTCTTTCATAAAGAGTTCTACTGCTTTTGAATCATAAGAACACTCCTGCTTAAAATTACTTCTAATTGTAAAAAGTATGGTATTTGAAACTAAAATAAAATTTTGTTTCAATATAGCATACAACTGACGCTATGGTACTATAAAATATCCGGCATGTTTTAAATCAAGTGATATAGAAAAAGGGTGTCACTACTTCAGAAAAAAACATTTAGATTTACTCTAAAGTTTTTTTTAATATCAATTGACGGGACGAACAAGTCGTGCGCCTGATGATAAGCTACACGCCTGCTTACAACAGTTGCAGTACCACTTAGAGCTTTTAGGACTGCACCCGTCACCCTGACACATAATTTGACAAGTCCCATGTGCCTGTGTCTGTTTCGCCAGCACCCTTAGGTACCATTCAAAACCGGAACACAGTAATTCTGACATTACTGCTTGGCGGCAGAAATAAGTAAGCGCAAATCGTCCAGTGTAGTGGCAAACTCTTTGACAAGGAACTCTACTGCTACTTTAAACTATAAAAATAAAGTCGAACAAAACAATGTTCGTCACCGATATGTTTATTAACATTATTGACCTCACCTGGACTCTAGCCTCGGAAAGGCTGATCCTCAAAGCAACTTCCTCCCTTAAGAACACGTCAGGGTAATGAGTCTTCTGGAAAAGGCTTTCCAACTCACTCAATTGCTGTGGTGTGAACGTTGTTCGGTTGCGGCGCTGCCGGCGTCGGCCGAACATGTACTCTGTTAGAAGATCTCCAGGTAACGGGGATAAATATGGACCTGCCATCTCCGAAGATGATGATCACGAAACTGTCCTTTGAACCGTTTGTGAGTTGATTAACTTATCAATAGCTGCGGTATAGACATGGACTTTGTAATAATTCTAGATGGATAATAATAATTATAATTCTCCTATAATAATAATTCTCCTACTTAACGTTTGCGTTGTCTATTTTCCTTTTTAAATTCTTCAAGTTTCCATTGTTATTTTCTTTTCTTTTGTAGTTGACGTAGACAAGATCTTCTCATAGTTCAAATCACACGAAAGTCTTAATTTTACTAAGTATTAATATATCTACTACATTTCCTTTAGAAACGTGAAATGCCTTTTTTAAACAATTTTAATACTTAGTCGCACTTATATAATTTGTAAATAATAAATGGAACAATTTGAAATGCTCAGTAATATAATGTTAAATCACGAAAAAAGTTAAATTAAATTGAAATATTTGACACAATCACTTGTTTTCAAACTTGACGAATTCACTCCGAAACTTTAAGAGCGTAGAAAAATTGTTCTACTTAGGATGCTTGCTGCGGGACTGTCCAAATTTACGAAAATATCGTGGAGAAAACCCCCCTGGCTCCACCCCTCAGCTACAAAATCTACGTTTCCTATTGGGTAGCTGTCGCAGGGGTTGGAAAACTCGACCAATCACAGGAAGAGTGTGGGATAGAGTTAATAGGTGTAGATTAAGTTATGGCGTTTCAGTAAAATATAAATTATATAAAGTGGTTAACTGGGAGCTGTTAATGAGATCTCGGTGTAGCGTTGAATGTAGAATTTTGAAAATTGAATGTAGAATTTCAAAGGGAATATCATACAATAGCTTAATATTACTAAGTATATAAATTAATTGAGTATGACGTAGCTTATAAGACAAAGAATATGGAATTAAGAATGGAGTGGACGTAAGAAGTTCATTTGAAAACTTGATTCAATAAGTAATTTTTTAAGTTGTAAAATTATCTCGATTGCCACATCATAATCATAATGAGACTCAATATTATAAGGACATTTAAATTAAATTTCTATAAATAGGTCACATTTGCAAAATGATAACTTTCAGGAGAAAGGTTTAAAGATTCTATAAATAAAATTAACCGAGAACTTTTTTCGCTTAAATTAAAAAGAAAGAGAAATTGAAAGAGTTATACAATTTCACATATAAGTGATTGATCCGTTCTTTACGTCCCCGGTTTGTTATACCCTCGTGATGTATGCCCCCGATTTTAATAAATTTTGGCACAACATTTTTTGTCAGACGTCTAGCTATTTGCATTAACTAAAATGTTTCTGAATTTAATAAATTTATTTGTATGTGTATGTGTGTTGCTGTGTTTTTGGAAAAATCCGTCCATTTGTTGTAATTAAGCAAAAACTGTGATTAAATTAGGTTCGTTACGTAAATATATAAATAAATAAATATATATATATATATATATATATATATATATACGTAAATTATGATTTTGCATGTTCAGCGATTCTTATGAAAACCCAATTTATAATACTCAATTTAAACGATACATACCAAATAGGATTTAATGGCAGTAGAACTCCTTGTGGAGAAGAAGAGTTCGTTCCTGTGAAGCTAATGTGAGCATTACTGCATTTCGGTTTGAAACGACAAGGGTGCTGGTAAAAATTACAGGCACATGGGTCTTGTCAAGCTGTGTCAGGGTGACGAGCGCAGTGGCAGTGCCCTTTAGATCTTTGCGATATAAAGCTGTCAGTGACACTGCAACTGCTGGGCGTGTCGCTTGCCACCAGGCGCACAACTTGTTCGTCCCGTCACTGATTATCATAAAAAAAAGTATATTATATCAAGGGTATAATAAGCCCACATTATATATTATATTTTTCTGTTGCTCTAAAAACATTTTTGCTAAATATATAAATATACATACAGATATTATATATAATTAACCGAGCTCTTAGCTGCATTGTGGCCGGAACGGAGACTGCTAAACAAGTTTCCGTAAACATTGTAATGAATAACACCCCCGCCCCCGCACCCTGCACCTCCACGTCTTACCCTGCAACGCGCTAATTAAGCATTTCAGCCATATTGTTTATACCGACTCAGTCAAATGAGTCTAAAATAAATAAGTATAAGCTCAATTAAAATTAAAATACTATATAAAGAAAGTAATTTCTATTAAAGTACAACGAAAGTAGTTTCAAACAAATACATAACTGTTTGATTACTTTACCACCTCGGTCAACCGTGACCATAGGTCCTGTAAAGGACCCGAAAAGTTGGTTTGTTTGAAAAAACAAAAAGAACTAAAAAGATTTTATATCATTTAAAGTAGTGAAGAGCACACTAACATTTTTATATGTTCGAAAATTCAAATTTATAATGCCACTTCCAGCGTTGCACAAATGTCGATGCAAAAAGCATCAATGAATAGATAACTAAAAAAGGATTAAAAAAAGAGTGAAAACACGTCGTCCCACTGGGTGAAGCTCAATTAGTTAATTAATCTTTTTTTCCGCGTTAAAATAGCATTTATAAGCGAGTGCAAACCGTTGGGAACTGCCTCCCCTATGCTTTCCAGTAAGGGCTGACAATGCCAAAATCATGGTCATAATAGCAATCTGGATGATTTATCTATGGAATATTAAAAAATCGATAAATGAAGACTTCGAATACTACCACAGCGGCAGCATCACCCGTCAATTGATTTTCGTCTCTACTAAGTAAATTTAGGACTAATTATTTATGCAAAGATCGAAACACTAATAAAGATTCCTTCAATTCGGCTGAACTCGGTTCAGCGCTTTCACCATAACAAATTTCACAAAAACTAATTGAAGCCGTGGGGCGACGGCTTAAGAATACATTGTCGCCTCCCCATACATGCCCGTGGGGGTCGTAAGAGGCGACCGAGGGCGTCACAAGTGTCCATCTGCTTAGCATTGTGGTAGGCTCTGTGCCGACTGGATAGCGACCACAGTACACACGGCGGAAAACCCTCCACAGTGAAACGCTTTTGCGAATCGCGTTCAGGGATCAGTTGGTGTACATCCAGTGCATTTGGCCAGACCGGCAAAATGATAGTGACGGAGTGAAGATATTTGTGTTTTCCATCCGTTACTCTCATCTCTGGACTGTATTCGCACTTTCCATCAGGCGCGGTGCAGTCATTTTGTCGAGTCGCAATAAAAAAAAAAAAATAAAAAAAAAAAGAATATCATGATACTAAAACTTCGTCATATTCAATAACTCATGTTATAAATTTAGGACTGTAAAGTCGTCCTCGTTATCAACGCATACAATTTAAACCATTTATTTTCACACACATAACAAAAAAAATTTACAGAAATGAGAAAAAATATTTTTTTTATACAAGTTACAGAAATAATTAACAGGAATAATTATAATTGTAAAAAAAATTAAAACCAAGTATAAAGAATCAAATCAAAATAGACAGAATAAAGTATGTGTGTGACGGACACGAGCTCAGGAAAATGTTGAAATCAGTTTGCAATGATTTCAACCCTGATTTTCAGCTCGACCCGGCCATGACAGCTCTACGTGGTCGATTACGAGTTTGGGATTCGAGTTTGGAATGTAGTTCAACAATACTGGCCCAAAAATGAAGGTTGAGACTTCATGACTCTTTGAAGAATAATTAACTGTAGTACATGGACGTTTTGTTACGGGATAATTCGTCATAATTAAAGTAACTGATTAGATTTAGTAGCAGTAGAGTTCCTTCTGAAAGAGTTCGTTTAGGGAAGTGCTACCATACCTATCTTTGCCGCCTAGCAGTAATGTGTATTAAGTTCCGGCTTAGGACAAGGACGCTGGCGAAAATAAAGGCACATAGAACTTGTCATCTTCATTTGTAAGGGTGAATTTTACAGCGGCAGTGCTCCTCAGACGTATGCGATTTAAAGCTCAGAGTGGCACAGCAACTGTTGTGGATAGGTGAGTCGCTTACTATCAAGCGTACTTCGTCCTAATACTTGACACTATAAAAGAACTGATAATAAGATCTCCTTCCAGAAGACAAGGACACTTCCAACTATGCTACCACTTTTCATGTACTACACATGCGCAATTGCCAACAAACATTAATACAAGAAGTTACAGTATAAATATGACCAAAGAAATATGTGCGAGAAATTAAAGCAAAATAATATTCCTGAAAAATCATTGCCAGCCCTATAGTGCAGTTAACAGTGTTTACTTATTGCAGGGCGGAACAATACAGTCGCCGGCGCAGCTCGTTGCATTAATTAATGTGCTTCCGAGCCGGCAAGAGTTCCAGCTGAGTGGAACACTGTGCAGTAATTAGCGCAGATTACGTCGCTTTCACTTTGCACACTAGATTATGTGATGTGATTTGATCTGGGATGACTCGACTCAATCGAATGTTTTTTTAATAATCGATTTTCAGATTTTAAATATCAATCCCAACACCCCAATTCAATCGAGAGTTGTACCCTAGTGGAGTCAATTACCTATTGATCTGTACCTGCAAATTATTGGCATTCTTCGCATTAAATTAAAGCATGAGTAAACAAAAGAAGGCTATTTCATACACATTCGTCGATTCTGGATAGCTGTGATCTTTTTACGTAAGAACAATGTCTTTGAATCCCTTGTGCTTATGTTGTTCATAACGTCTAGACTGTTCTTCCAAGTTATGTTTAGTAATGCAACAGTGTTGAGTAAATGTACCCAGCGAACGCATAGTGAAGAAGCATTCAGAATTTATCGCGTGAGTTTTTTTGTAATAGAGACAGTAAAGATAGTGAATAAGCATAATGATTTGGTGAATTAAAAAGTCTCAAATGCAAAAAAAAAATACATGCAAAGTTGAGATCGTCTTTTAACTATGAAAATAATTTTATCAGTAAGTATCGCTTGTGGTTTTAAGACTATTCCTCGTTTCGATCGATCATCACGATAGTCGAATCGATCTGCCGCTACTCCTTTGGAGTTTAAGTTCATCGTTAACGACATAAACGTACACTATCGATTCGTCGTTTCTATCAGTGACGACAAATCCTCCCGTAAGTATATGGGGCATTTAACTGCGTTATATATTCCATTATATTAATTGAAT